CAGTGTGTGCCAACCTTGTGAGGACTTCCAGGAAACGTCTGACCTCTGTCATTGCCAACAAAGGATATATAACAAAGTATTGACATGAACTTTTCATATTCACCAAATACTTATTTTCCACCATAATTTGCAAATCAATTCTTTCCAGATCAGCCAATGTGATTGTCTGGATTTGTTTTTCTCATTTTGTCTCTCATAGTTGAGGTCTCCCTATGATGCCAATTACAGGCCTCTCTCATCTTTGTAAGTGGGAGAACTTGCACAATTGGTGGCTGACTAAATACTTTTTTGCCCCACTGTATGCGCCATGTCGGCAGGAAGAGGTTACCAGCCTCCAGGAAGGTTTTCCACAAGATTTTGGAGTATCTAGAGGAATTTGTGATGATTCGTTCAAAAGGGAATGTTTTAGGTCAGGTACCGATGTTGAACAAGAAGATCTGACTCACAATTGGCATATTGAGATATCGAGTCTTTGCTGAAGGTATACAGTTGTGCTCAAAAGTTTGCATACCCTCGCAGAAATTGTGAAACTTTGGCATTGATATTGAAAATATGACTGATCTGCCAAAAAAATGCTCTTTTATTGAAGGATGATGATCATATGAAGCCATTTATTATCACAGAGTTGTTTGCCTCCTTTTTAAATCATAATGATAACAGAAATCCCCCAAATGGCCTGGATCAGAAGTCTCCGCCCCCCAGATCAGAAGTCTCCGCCCCCCAGAATGTTCGGCCTTGGTACAGACACACAAGGTGACACACACGGGTTTAAATGCCAATTAGAGGTTAATGTCCCACATCTGTGGCTTTTTAAATTGCAATTAGTGTCAGTGTATAAATAGTCAATGAGTTTGTTAGCTCTTACGTGGAAGCACTGACTAGGCTAGATACTGAGCCATGGGGATCAGAAAAGAACTGTCAAAAGTCCTGCGTAACAAGGTAATGGAACTATATAATGATGGAAAAGGAAACAAAAAATAAAATATACCATACGTGGCCTTTATTTTAATACGTTGATTCATTTACCTTGGGGTTTGTCCGCTGCTGAAGTCGTCTCTCTTCCCTTTCCCTTTGTAATCTCTCAAACTCCTCCCTGATCTCCGCTGCAGTTCTTTTCCTCTCCACCACCTAAGAGGTAAGAAGACACAAAAGATATTTAAAAAGTGTACATCTAAGGGGAAAAAAATAATTAAGAAACAAAAATGAGCCGCACAATAGTTTATCTACTAGAAAGCCATGGAGCTCATAACTTCTGAAATCCCAACCAGTAACACAGAAACAGAGAAAGAAAAGTGACAGCAGAAAAAAGACCAAGTGCTGCATCGAGACTGCCTTTTATTTATATATATTTTTTTTTTTTTTTGGTTAACTTTATTGTCTGAGTATAGATTTGTGCTTGTCTCAAGCATATGTGAATCCGTTTACTGTTGTGACTGACCCACTACCTCTGTTGGTGGTCTATTTGACCCTTTTGGTCAGAATAGACCAAAGAATACTGCCCCTCTCGAACCTTACTCACCCTCTTCATGTGTGTAAAGGTTTCAATCATGCCCCTCCCCTTTCTTTCTCTCCAACCTTATTGCTGCAATAATGGCATTGGTTACAGAAGGATTTTTAAACTTCTCTATGTTCAACTGAGCACTGTTGGGGCTATAATCCAGAAGCGGAAAGAACATAATTTCATCATGAACTGGTCACGACCAGGTGCTCCTCGCAAGATTGACAGGAGTGAAAAGAATATTCAGAAGAGTTGTCCAAGAGCCAAGGACCACTTGTGGAGAGCTTCAGAAAGACCTGGAATTAGCAGGTAAAATTGTAAACAATAAGTAATGCACTTAACCGACATGGCCTGTATGCACGCTCACCACACAAGACTCCATTGCTGAAGAAAAGGTATATTGAAGCTCGTTTAAGGTTTGCAGCATAAAATTTAGACAAGCCTGTGAAATATTGGGTGAATATAGTCTGGTCAGATGAGACCAAAACTGAACTCTTTGGATGCCATAACACACACCATGTTTGGAGGTCAAATGGCACAGAACATCACCCCAAAAACACCATACCAACAATGAAACATGGAGATGCTTCCCTCCTGCTGGAGATCCCTTTAGTGGAATCAGGATCTCCTTCCTCCTGCTGGTGATCCCTCTAGTGATATAAAGATCTGTATAGAGGAATCAGGACCTCCTCCTTCCTGCCGGTGACCCCTTTAGTTATGCATCCTAGAATTCCAACATCATACGACCCCAAACACACCTCCAAGACCAGCACTGCCTTGCTAAAGAAGCTGAGGGTAAAGGTGATGGACTGGCCAAGCGTGTCTCCAGACCTAAACCCTATTGAGCATCTGTGGGGCATCCTCAAACAAAAGGTGGAGGAGCGCAAGGTCTCTAACATCCACCAGCTCCGTGATGTCGTCATGGAGGAGTGGAAGAGGACTCCAGTGGCAACCTGTGAAGCTCTGCCGAACTCCATATCCAAGAGGGTTAAGGCAGTGCTGGAAAATAACGTCGGCCACACAAAATATTGACACTTTGAGCCCAATTTGGACCTTGTCACTCAGGGGTGGACTCAATTTTGTTGCCGGCGGTTTAGACATTAATGGCGGTGTGTTGAATTATTTTGAGGGGACAGCAAATTTACATGTTATACAAGCTGTACACTCACTACGTCACATTGTAGCAAAGTATCATATCTTCAGTGTTGTCACATGAAAAGATAGAATAAAATATCTACAAAAATGTGAGGGGGGGAGGGAATCACTTCTGGGAGATACTGTATTTCAGTGTCCCACTGAGTTTTAATTCCACTGGTCGTCAAGGTATCAAAAAAGGATCCAAGCGGTCCATGAAACAAAAAGTTTAAGATCAACTTCCACAACCATTGGTGCAACAACTGGCTACATTATATCCCTTGATCACAAAATTTAAGATCAACTTCGGCAACCATTGGTTCAACAATTGGCTACACTGTGACCCTTGATCACAAAGTAGAAGACCAACTTCCACAACCATTGGTGCAACAATTGGCTACACTGTATCCCTTGATCACAAAGCTGAATACCAGCTTCCACAAGCATTGGTGCAACAATTGGCTACACTGTATCCCTTGATCACAAAGTTGAATACCAGCTTCCACAACCATTGGTGCAACAATTGGCTACACTGTATCCCTTGATCACAACGTTGAAGACCAACTTCCACAACCATTGGTTCAACAATTGGCTACACTGTATCCCTTGATCACAAAGTTGAATACCAGCTTCCACAACCATTGGTGCAACAATTGGCTACACTGTATCCCTTGATCACAACGTTGAAGATGAATTTCCACAACCATTGGTGCAACAATTGGCTACACTGTATCCCTTGATCACAACGTTGAAGATGAATTTCCACAACCATTGGTGCAATAATTGGTTACACTGTGTCCCTTGATCACAAAATTTAAGATCAACTTCCACAACCATTGGTTCAACAATTGGCTACACTGTATCACTCTGGTCTCAAAAAGTTGGAAAGTACATGAACTCGTTTTGCTTTTATTACAAAAGCAGAACAGTCCAAAAATATACTAATTACTCACATCTCACGGACACCTTTTCGGAGTACATCTGAAATCATTAGACGATCTTTCAAAAGAACAGCTATGAAGTTACTTTGAGAAAGATCAGTCTTTTTTTACTGTCCGGCTTAACTTTTCTTTTTTTTTTTTTACTTCCAAAGGACGAAATAATAAAAAGACAATAGCGCAGGTAATTAATGCGTAGAACCCTAGCCGACTCCCTTTTGTCTAAATATCCCTTCTTATCTTCAGAAGACACTAATGAGTCTGATAGAAAAATGTCTGCAATAGGGCCTACAAATCTCAAACTGTACATTAAGCAGATTATATCTAAGCGATAGAGCAAACGTTTCGCACTTGGCCCGTTTCCCCCGTCATCTTTTTGCTGCCAAATCCGAGCGACAGAAGAGAAGATCCTATTTTTAGAAGGACAATTTCTGAAAAATCAGCGGCTCGTAGATTTATCACTCGCCTGGTATTTCACTGGCAATGTTATCGCTTGCAAGACCAATAAAATAAAGGCCCGGCTTCAGAGTCAAATTATAGATAATCCGCTAACCTATTCGGTTAGCCTAAATCAATTTTACAGACTACGTTTACTAATGCTAAAATACAATTTACGGCGTACAGGAGAGGAAAAAACAGGCATGAAGGATGCACCCCGTGTATTAAACATTCATTGAGAAGGTCTGACTGTTCAGAAGGCAAATAACACCCAACAAAAGGGATTATTCCTTATTAAAAAGGGCTACAGCAAGTAGTGCTGATAAATATTCTTCAGCAGAAAGATAGTTTACTTAACCACTTCCAGTCCGGACACTTCCCCCCCCCTTCCAGTCCGGACGCTTTCCCCCCCCCTTCCAGTCCCGACGCTTTCCCCCCCCCCCCCCCCCTTCCAGTCCCGACGCTTTCCCCCCCCCTTCCAGTCCCGACGCTTTTCCCCCCCCTTCCAGTCCCGACGCTTTCCCCCCCCTTCCAGTCCCGACGCTTTCCCCCCCCTTCCAGTCCCGACGCTTTCCCCCCCCCCTTCCAGTCCCGACGCTTTCCCCCCCCTTCCAGTCCCGACGCTTTCCCCCCCCCTTCCAGTCCCGACGCTTTCCCCCCCCTTCCAGTCCCGACGCTTTCCCCCCCCTTCCAGTCCCGACGCTTTCCCCCCCCTTCCAGTCCCGACGCTTTCCCCCCCCTTCCAGTCCCGACGCTTTCCCCCCCCCTTCCAGTCCCGACGCTTTCCCCCCCCTTCCAGTCCCGACGCTTTCCCCCCCCCTTCCAGTCCCGACGCTTCCCCCCCCCCCCCATCCAGTCCCCGACGCTTCCCCCCCCCCTTTCCAGTCCCGACGCTTTCCCCCCCCTTCCAGTCCCGACCCTTTCCCCCCCCTTCCAGTCCAGACGCTCCCCCCCCCCCCTTCCAGTCCGGACGCTTTCCCCCGCTTTCCCCCGCTTTTCCCCCCTTCCAGTCCGGACACTTTCCCCCCCTTCCAGTCCGGACACTTTCCCCCCCCTTCCAGTCCGGACACTTTCCCCCCCTTCCAGTCCGGACACTTTCCCCCCCTTCCAGTCCGGACACTTTCCCCCCCTTCCAGTCCGGACACTTTCCCCCCCTTCCAGTCCGGACACTTTCCCCCCCTTCCAGTCCGGACACTTTCCCCCCCTTCCGGTCCGGACACTCCCCCCCCCCCCCTTCCCCCCTTTCAGTCCGGACACTTTCCCCCCCCTTCCAGTCCGGACACTTTCACCCCCTTCCAGTCCGGACACTTTCCCCCCCCCCTTTCCCGTCCGGACACTTTCCCCCCCCTTCCAGTCCGGACACTTTCCCCCCCCTTCCAGTCCGGACACTTTCCCCCCCTTCCAGTCCGGACACTTTCCCCCCCGTTCCAGTCCGGACACTTTCCCCCCCCTTCCAGTCACGGACACTTTCCCCCCCTTCCAGTCCGGACACTTTCCCCCCCTTCCAGTCCGGACACTTTCCCCCCCTTCCAGTCCAGGCCAAATTTTCAGCTTTCAACGCTATAACACTTTGAATGACAATTGCGACGGCGCGGTCATGCAACACTGTACCCATATGAATTTTTTAGCATTTTTTTGAGACAGATAAAGCTTTTTTTTGGTGGTATTTATTTACCACTGGGATTTTTTTTTTTTTTTTGCAATGTAAATGAAAATGTCCAAAAATCTTGAAAAAAAGTGTTTTTCTTAAAAAAATTTTTGCAAATAAATATTTCATCATAAATCTTGGCCAAAATGTATTCCGTTATCTTTTTGCTAAAAAAAAAAAAACAAATTAGTTTATAACCAAAAATTATAATTTTTAAACTTTTTTTTTTTTTTTTTATTTTTTTATATTATTTATGTTTTTGTTTTTTTTTTACATACCGTCACCCTAGCAGTACAGTGTCACCATGGTGACACTGTACTACTTGTGGGGGGGTGATGAAGATTTTTTTTTTTTTTTTCGTACACGGATTGCTTTTACACCCATAAAGGCTGTAAAAGCAATCATTTCTCCTTCTCTCTGGCTGCATTCTTGCAGCCATTGAGAACTACTGTGTGAGCCGTGATTGGTCACAGCTTGTCACATGGTACAAGGCTGTTGTGAATAGTTTTTATATATATAGATATCAATATCTATCTATCTATCTATATATAATATATATATATATATATATATATATATATATATATATATATATATATATATATATATATATATATATATATATATATATATATATATATATCTCAAGTTCCATTGACTCCAATGCAAAAACGCCTCCTATTGACATCAGTGCAAAAAAGACCTCTAAGTTTTTTTTAAAGTTTTTATATATATTTCATTTTACTGACAGTAACACAAAAACTGAACAAGTAAAAGTTATTTTACGCTACTGGAGTTATATTTTTTTAAATTACCACTCATTTAAATTCATGATATGAATTAAAACGTTGAATATAATACAATAATATACAAAAAAAAAAGTATTAAAAAAATTTTGTCCATTTTGGTTTTCGGCCAGGTGCATCCCGAAATACGTGCAGTATAATTTGATTTAGCTCAGCTTTCTGGTACACGATCACATTCCAAATTCTATCAAAAAGTGGTTTTATTCCAAACATGTAAAATCACATCCCATTGACTCCAATGTAAAAACATCTATTAACTTCAATGCAAAATCGTGTTCCATTGACTTCAGTGCAAAAACGCCTCCTAATATATATATATATGTATATATAGAGAGAGAGAGAGAGAGAGAGAGAGAGAGAGAGAGAGAGAGAGAGAGAGAGAGAGAGAGAGAGAGAGAGAGAGTTCCATTGACTCCAATGTAAAAATCTCCTATTGACTTCAATGCAAAATTGTGCACCATCGACTCCAATGTAAAAATCTCCTACTGACTTCAATGCAAAATCGTGCCCCATTGACGCCAACGGAAAAAACGTCTTCTATTGACTTCAGTGCAAAAAACACCTCTATTTAAGTTTTTTAATATTTTTATATATATCAAGTTCCATTGACTCCAATGCAAAAACACCTCCTATTGACTTCAGTGCAAAAAATGCCTATATTTAAGTTATCAAAAAAAGTTTTTTATATATTTAATTTTATTGAAAGTAACACAAAAACTGGACAAATAAGCCATTTTATGTTACTGGAGTTGTATTTTTCAAGTTACCACTCATTTAAAATTCATGATATTAATAAAAATGTTGAATATAATACAATATATACAAAAAGTATTTAAAAAAAAAAATGTCCATTCTGATTTTCGGCCAAGTGCATCCTGAATTTTTGTTTTCTGTCCAGAATTTTCATTTCGGTGCACCACTGATCAAGGCCTGGGAGAACGGCTGATGAAAACTCAGGACTAGAGGTAAAATTGATTGTCAAAAGAATCTTTGCCTTCTTCAGCTGAGTAAAATGTTGCAACGTATAGTTAAAAGGAACAGCTTGCTTAAATAATTCTTCGCTACTACAGGCAACAAGGGATGGCGTTCAGCGAGCGGCCAACGTTGTGGAGTGTGAGTTATCAGAAGTGTCCTCCGAGTATGGGTGTGCACTTCCTGAAATATGTGCCGTATGACTTCCTCCAGCTCTGCTTCCTGGCACACCAATCACATTTGGAGTTCTATCAAAAAGTAGAAGAAAAGTTTGGCCTTCAGCAGTTGCTAAATGTTGCCAACTTTTCAACGTTCTTACCAACGTTCTCCAGCAAATGGTACAACATTGTTACTGTCAGAGTTCATGCCATCTACGATGATCTGAGTTATCGGAAGTGTCCTCCGAGCACACGCAGCTCCATAGAGGGTCACTGGGTGCGCACTTCCTGAAATATGTGCCGTACGACTTCCTCCAGCTCTGCTTCCTGGCACACCAATCACATTCTGAGTTCTATCAAAAAGTGGTTTTATCCCAAACATGTAGGGAAACTCCAATGTGTTTCAGGGGCCAAATGTTGGCCACTTTATCAAGGTTTAGAGAACTCAAGACTATATATAAAATTGAATATCAAGAAAAGCTTGGCCTACAGCAGCTGCTAAATGTTGCAACACTTTGTTAAAGGAACATCTTCCTCATGTAATTCTTTGCTACTACACGCAACAAGGGATGGTGTTCAGCGAGCGACCAACGTTCTCCAGCAAATGGTGCAACATTGTTACAGAGTTCATGCCATTTACGGTGAGCTATCAGAAGTGTCCTCCGAGCACACACAGCTCTGTAGAGCGTCACTGGGTGCGCACTTCCTGAAATATGTGCCGTACGACTTCCTCCAGCTCTGCTTCCAGGCACACCAATCTGAGTTCTATCAAAAAGTGGTTTTATCCCAAACATGTAGGAAAACTCCAATGTGTTTCAGGGGCCAAATGATGGCCACTTCATCAAGGTTTAGGCGAACGGGTAAAGAGAACTCAAGACTATAGATAGAATTAAAAAAAAAAAGTTTGGCCTTCAGCAGCTGCTAAATGTTGTAACACTTAAAGGAACATCTAGCTCATGTAATTCTTTGCTACTACACACTGTAATGGAACCGGTACCCGACCACACTTGGGTATATTCCGTTATACTGCAGCTTCCCCTGTCCGAACACCATCCACGGACCACACCCTTGAAATCCCTCAGGAAAAAGACAGCACCCAGCTCTTCTTAAGACAGAAAGCCAACACTTTTATTTTTAACACAAAACACAGGATATATACAGAGGGCGGGGAAACACAACCAGGAACAGGAAATACATCATCACCCCTCCCCATTCCACCAAGACACAGAACAATGGGATGAAGCACATGGCAAAGGACATTGACCAACCCCCACACCAATACACAAACAGTACATCCCATAATAGTTGGCTGGACAGGAAGACACAGCACAATGGGGGGTAGCACATGGCAAACAGACAATGGACAGCCATGTGGCCGAGAACAAAGGAACACACACTATACACAAGACTGGGACATTCACATACACACCCTGTACCCCTTAACAGGCACAGGGTGTCTTAAACATAATGATTTGGGGAGATGATACAGAGGTCCCCCCACCTCTAAAAGTCACTCCCGTCACACACACAACAAAGGATTGTGTTCAGCGAGCGACCAATGTTCTCCGGCAAATGGTGCAACATTGTTACGGAGTTCATGCCATTTACAATGATCTGAGTTATCAGAAGTGTCCTCCAAGTACACACAGCTCCGTAGAGGGTCACTGGGTGCGCACTTCCTGAAATATGTGCGGTACGACTTCCTCCAGCTCGGCTTCCAGGCACACCAATCACATTCTGATTTCCATCAAAAAGTGGTTTTATCCCAAACATGTTGGGAAACGCCAATGCATTTCAAGAGCCAAATTTTGGCCATTTTATCAAGGTTTAGAGAACTCAAGACTATAGATAGAATTGAATATCAAGAAAAGTTTGGCCTTCAGCAGCTGCTAAATGTTGCAACACTTTGTTAAAGGAACATCTTGCTCATGTAATTCTTTGCTACAACACGCAACAAGGGATGGTGTTCAGCGAGCGACCAACGTTCTCCAGCGAATGGAGCAACATTGTTACAATCAGAGTTCATGCCATTTACTGTGAGTTATCAGAAGTGTCCCTCCGAGTACACACAGCTCTGTAGAGGGTCACTGGGTGTGCACTTCCTGAAATATGTGCCGTACGACTTCCTCCAGCTCTGCTTCCAGGCACACCAATCACATTCTGATTTCCATCAAAAAGTGGTTTTATCCCAAACATGTAGGGAAATTCCAATGTGTTTCAGGGGCCAAACTTTTCCACTTTATCAAGGTTTGGAGAACTCAAGACTATAGATAAAATTGAATATAAAAAAAAAAAAACTATCAAAAAGTGGTTTTATTACAAAACGTAGAGAAAGTCCAATGAATTTCAGGGGCCAAATTTTGGCCACTTTATCAAGGTTTAGGCAAATGGGTAAAGAGAACTCAAGACTATAGATAGAACTGAATATCAAGAAAAGCTTGGCCTACAGCAGCTGCTAAATGTTGCAACACTTTGTTAAAGGAAACATGTAATTCTTTGCTACTCCACGCAACAAGGGATGGCGTTTAGCGAGCGACCAACGTTCTCCAGCAAATGGCGCAACATTGTTACAGAGTTCATGCCATTTACTGTGAGCTATCAGAAGCGTCCTCCAAGCACACACAGCTCTGTAGAGGGTCTATGGGTGCGCACCTCCTGAAATATGTGCTGTACGACTGCCTCCAGCTCTGCTTCTTGGCATACAATCACATTCCGAGTTCTACCAAAAAGTGGTTTAATTCCAATGTGTTTCAGGGGCCAAATGTTGGCCACTTCATCAAGGTTTAGGAAAATGACTGATATCTCCAAATATCACCCAAACCGTACTCTCCGCTCCTCGTACGACCTCCTGCTCGTCTCCAGAGCTTCCCATTTCCTCTGGTACTCTCTACTCCAATTTATCAGACTATCGCCTACTCTGCTCACTTTTAGGTGATCTCTGAAAACCTCTCTCTTCAGGGAAGCCTATCCTGCCCTCAGCTAATAA